TCTGGCTCCTTAGCGTAAACCCTAAACCCTAAACCCTAAACCCTAAACCCTAAAACCATAAGACACTAAATTCTATTTCGTACAACAAAGAGACATATAGAGACAACAAAGAGAGACACAAAAGAGACAATAAAAAGGAGACAATAAAAAGGAGACAAAAAAAAAGAAGTGTCTCCTTGTATATTTGTTTACCTATAAATAGCAGCAAGACCAGCAAGAAGAAGAGACTGAGATAAATCCTCACAATATTGTTCTTTTTCTTTTTTTGTTAAGGAAAGATGTGTCTCCTTATTAAATAAACAATTAAATAAATAAAAAGGAGACAAATAATATAAAGGAGATAATAATCTACTCTTCTTTCCTTGTGATGCTGCTTGTGCTGCTGCTGCTGCTGCTGCACTCTTCTTACTTGTTAAATGACCTACACAAATATAATACACAATTATATACCAATTAGGGTTTAGGGTTTAGGGTTTAGGGTTTATAAGCTTTTTTTTATAGAGAGAGAGAACAACTTGTATTAATAATACAAAACGAATTAGGGTTTAGGGTTTAGGGTTTATAAATAATCTAAAGAAGAATAAGAAATAAATATATTCTTGTTATAAAAAAATATTTTAGGGTTTAGGGTTTAGGGTTTAGGGTTTACCTAGAGAGCAACAAGGTATTAATACTTGGCATACTAAACGACCATATTGATCTTTTGCTAATAAACGGATAAACACTATCCTATTTAATACTTTTTCTTTAGCAAAATGTGTTGCTTCCTGTATAAATATATATACATATATATAAACCCTAAACCCTAAACCCTAAACCCTAAACCCTAATACCCTAAACCCTACAAAAAAAAGAAAAAAAAACCCACAATTTTGGATGGATATATGCACGCACATACATTTTTTACTTATTTATTTTATTTATATTTATTTGTTTATTTATTTTATTTATTTATTTATTTATTTTATTTATTTAATTAAATAAAAAGGAGACAGGAGACACCTTTGCATAAGACTGTCCAATTAAACAAAATCAATAAATAAAGAAAATAAATAAAAAAAATAAATAAACCAAATAAATAAATAAATAAATAAAATAAATAAATAAATAAATAAAATAAATAAATAAATAAATAAATAGGGAAAAAGGAGACAGACTTCTGCATAAGGTTGTCCAGGTTTGCCTAGTTTAGGTGTCTCGGGTGTATCTACACCATAAAGGCGAATCCTAATTGTCTCTCCTTTTAATTTTCCTTGCCATGGAGGAGACACTGCAAATAATCCTGTCCTCTTGCTGCTGCTGCTGCTGCTGCTGCTGCTGCAGCAATTGTTGCTGCTGCGTAAAGGGAAACGATACGTCTTATGACCATTAGGGATATGTCTGCATAAATAAATAAATAAATAAATATATAAATATATAAATAAATAAATAAATAAATAAATATATACATTAATTAATTAGTAAATAATATTTAGTATTTAGCGCTTACAGTTTAGTGATTAGGATTTTTTTTAGGGTTTAGGGTTTAGGGTTTTTTTAAGGGTTTAGGGTTTAGGGTTTTTTTAAGGGTTTAGGGTTTAGGGTTTATACCGTCCTCTACATGTGTCTCCATTAGGAGACACTACAATATATTTATATTATAGTATAGATGTATAATTAATATATATAATTTATTTTTTAGGGTTTAGGGTTTGGAATTTTTTTTTAGGGTTTAGGATTTTTTTAGGGTTTAGGGTTTAGGGTTTAGGGTTTACGGACCTCCCCCTAAAGGTGTCTGCATCGTAGAGATTAACAATTTATAAAAGAATAAATTTATGTAGTAATATAGATGTATAATTTATATAATATATTTTTTAGGGTTTAGGGTTTGGAATTTTTTTTTTAGGGTTTAGGGTTTAGGGTTTAGGGTTTAGGGTTTAGGGTTTACCGTCCTCTGAAGGTGTCTCCATCAGAGACATTAACAATTTGTACAACAATACATTTATGTTGTAATATAGATGTATAAGGAATATAATCTTCTGTTAGGAATAAAGTGTCTCCTTCTATGTATTCATTATAAGAAAAAGGGGAAGAAAAAGGGGCAGGAGGCTCATCTTTTTTTTGTCCTCCTCCTCCTCCTGCTGCTGCTGCTGCTGCTGCTGTTGTTCCTCCTGCTGCTGCTGCAGGGGTTGGAGTCTGTGGGGTTGATGCAGCTGAACCCATTTCCTTCTCCTGCTAAAAAGGGACACAAATAATCCTGCTGCTGCTGCTGCTGCTAAAAGGAGACAGATTTGCTGCTGCTGCTGCTGCTGCTGCTGCTGCTGACAAGAGACAGTTTGCTGTTGACAAGAGATAGTTTGCTGCTAAAAGGAGACACCTTTGCTGCTGCAGTTTGCTGCAGTAGTCATCAGACACTTTGCTGCTAAAAGGAGACACTTTATTGCTTAAATCAAACACTTTGCTGCTACGAAGAACTGCTGCTGCTGCTGCTGCTGCTGCTGCTGCTGCTGCTAAAAGGAGACACTTTTGCTGCTGCTAAAAGGAGACAGAAGAAGGAAACCCTATAAAGACTGCAGCGGCAGATGCGTACATCCGCAGCAGCAACTTGCTGCTTGCTGCACCAAAAGAAGCAGCAGGAGACACCTGCTGCTGCAGAAGAGACAATTTGCTGCAGCAAAGACAACTTGCTGCTGCACAGACACCAGCAGCAGGGAGACTGCTTGCTGCTCAAGTGTCTCCTTTTAGCAGCAGCAGCAGCAGCAGCAGCAGCAGCAGCTTAATGTGTTATAATAAGCAGCAAGACAAGCTGTCTCTTTCTTTTATTTGTCCCTAAAGACACAACCTTCACCTGCTGCACTTGCTGCTGCTGCTGCTACTCGTGCTGCTGCTCGTGCTGCTGCGGCCGCTGCTCGTGCTGCTGTTGCTGCTGCTCGTGCTACTGTTGTTGCTGCTGTTGCTGCTGCTACACAAGACAACAAGGGGGAATAAAAAAGAAATAATACTATATATTAATAAATAAATAAATAAAAAGAAACAAAGACAAGAAAATATTCATAAGGGGCCCTTAGCAGACAGACACTGCCTGTCTAGGGTTTAGGGTTTAGGGTTTAGGGTTTAGCAGCAGGAGGCCCCCCACAGCCAGCCAATGAGCACGAGGGTATTGGGGTGTATAGGCAGCTATAAATAAGGAAATAAATAAATAAATAAATAAATAAATTATAAATAAATAAATAAATAATTATAATAAACAAATAAATACACAAAAATAATTCCTTATACTCATAAACCCTAAACCCTAAACCCTAAACCCTAATTAGATGGGGGCGGCGGGGGGGTTAAGCGTTGAGGGTTAAGAGAGGGGGGCCCCAAGAGCGACGGGGGCCCCCTTTTTGCACTGCTGCTGGTGCTGCTGCTGTTGCTGTTGCTGCTGCTGCTGCTGCTGCTGCTGCTGCTGCTGGTGCTGCTGCTGCTGCCGGTGGTCTGGCTCTCCTTGCTGCTGTTCCTTAATTTCTTTTTTTTTTTCTTTTGTTGTTTTTCTTTCTTATTTTCTTTAATTATATTTATTTATTTATTTATTTTTTCTTCTTCTTTTTTTATTTAATTAATTAATTAAATTAAATTAATTAAATATTTATATTTAATACCCTTTTATTCCCTCGCTGTTGCTGCTGCTGCAGCAGCAGCAGCAAGAGACCCAAGTCCACACACAACCCCCTAAACCCTAAACCCTAAACCCTAAACCCTAATAAACCCTAATAAACCCTAGTAAACCCTAAACCCTCAAAGTAGGCTGGAGGGGGGTGGAGGGGTGGGGCCCCTCTTAGTTCATTAGGGTTTAGGGTTTAGGGTTTAGGGATGAGGGAGACGGATAGTGGTGCCCGTCTCGTTGGTGGAGGGGCCCCCTTGGGGGCCCCTGGGGCCCCTGGTCCCCATTCCTCTTCCTTGGGGGCCCCTATGGAGGGTTTCCCATCAATGGGGGCCCCTACCGGGGGGCCCTCTTCAAAGGGGGCCCCCAGGGGGGCCCCCTCTTCTTTAGGGGCCCCTGTTGATGGGTCTTCTTGTACCCTCAACATGGAGGGTTCTAAGGGGGCCCCCCAAGATGTCTCTGCTTCTTCTTTCCTTCCCAGCAGCAGCAGCAGCAGCAGCAGCAGCAACAGCAGCAGCAGCAGCAGCAGCAGCAACAAGAACAAGAGCAGCAGCAGCAGCGGCATGAAAGAGGAGATGGATACATTATATGACGAAGGAGACACGGATATATCAGCTGCTGCTGCAGGAGCAGGAGCAGCAGGAGCAGCAGCAGCAGCAGCAGCAGCAGTAGCAGCAGAAGGAGAGAAAAAGGAGACAGCAATAGAGAGACAAACAGAACAATTTATGTCTCTTAATTTTGCTGCTGTTGCTGCAGCAATAGATCGATTCAGAGGAGACACTAGATTAGCCCTAGCATTAAGACTGTCTCCTGCTGCTGCTGCTGCTGCTGCTGCTGCTGCTGCTGCACAACAACAGCAGCAGCAGCAGCAGCAGCAGCAGCAGCAGTGTCCCCTTCCTCCTGCTCCTCCTCCATTAGAGACACAACGTTTATCTTGTTCATTAGATAGTATATTAACTGCACATGAACAACAAACCCTACAGGTATATAAACCCTAAACCCTAATAAACCCTAATAAACCCTAATAAACCCTAATAAACCCTAATAAACCCTAATAAACCCTAATAAACCCTAATAAACATTAATAAACCCTAATAAACATTAATAAACCCTCTTAAACCCTAATAAACCCTCGTAAACCCTAATAAACCCTCGTAAACCCTAATAAACCCTCGTAAACCCTAATAAACCCTAATAAACATTAATAATCCCTCGTAAACCCTAATAAACCCTCGTAAACCCTAATAATCCCTAGTGTGCCCTAATAAACCCTTATAAACCCTAATAAACCCTAATAAACGCAAATAAACGCAAATAAAGCCTAATAGACGTATGTATATGTATATAAGTACATATATATATGTATATATGTATA